CTCTGTTGAAGAACATCTGGGTTCTTTCCAGCTCCTGACTATTATAAATAAGACTGCTATGAACACAGTGGAACATGTGTCTGACCTTGTTATATGTTGGAGCATGTTTTGGGTACATGCCCAGGAGTGGCATAATTGATCCTCAGATAGTACTGTGTCCAATTTTCTGAGGAACCACCAGACTGATTTCCATCATGGTTGTATCAGCTTGCAATCCTACCAAAATCGGAGGAGTATTCCACTTTCTCTACATCCTCAGCAGCATCTGCTGTCACCTCAGTTTTTGATTCTGTTCATTCTGACTGGTGTGAGAAGGGATCTCAGGGTTGTTTTGATTTACATTTCACTGATGATTAAGGATGTTGAACACTTCTTTAGGTGCTTTTTGATCATTCAAGATTCCTCAGTTGAGAATTCTTTGTTTAGCTCTGTACCCCATTTTTAATAGGGTTATTTGGTTGTCTGGAGTCTAATTTCTTGAGTTCTTTGTATATATTGGATATTAGCCCTCTATCGGTTGTAGAATTGGTTAAGAAATTTTTTTACAATCTATTTGTTGCTGTTTTGTCCTATTAACAGAGTGTCCTTTGCCTTACAGATGCTTTGCAATTTTATGAGGTCCCATTTGTTAAATTCTTGATCTTAGGAAATCAGCTATTGACGTCCTGTCCAGGAACTTTTCCCCTGTCGCCATGTGTTTGAGGCTTTTCCCCACTTTCTGTTCTATTAGTTTCAGTGTATCTGGTTTCATGTGGAGGTTCTTTATCCACTTGGACTTGCGCTTTTTACCTGGAGGTAAGAATGGATCAATTTGCCATCTTCTGTATGCTGACCTCCAGTTGAACCAGCACCGTTTGTTGAAAATGCTGTCCTTTTTCCACTGGACAGTTTTAACTCCTTTGCCAAAGATCAAGTGACCATAGGTGTGTGGGTTCATTTCTTAGTCTTCATTTCTGTTCCATTGATCTTCCTGTCTGTCTCTGTACCAATGCAGTTTTTATGACTGGTGCTCTGTAGTACAGCTTGAGATCAGGGATGGTGATTTCTCCAGAAGTTCCTTTATTGTTGAGAAATGTTTTCATTATCCTGAGTATTTTGTTATTCCAAATGAATTTTAGAATTGCACTTTTTTACTCTGAGAAGACTTGAGTTGAGATATTAATGAGGATTGCATTGAATTTGTAGATTGGTTTTGGCAAGGCGGCCATTTTTACTATATTAATCATGCCAATCGAAGAGCATGAGAGAGCTTTCCATCTTCTGAGATCTTATTCAAATTCTTTCTTCAGAGTCTAGTAGTACTTGCCATTCAGATCTTTCACTTGCTTGGTTAGATTCAAACTAAGGTATTTTATATTATTTGTGGCTATTATAAAATGTGTCATTTCCCTAAATTCTTTTACTCATCTTTTCAGTAAAGGAAGGCTACTGTTTTGTTTGAGTTAATTTTATATCCAGCCACTTTGCCAAAGTTTATCAGGTTTAGTATTTCTCTGGCAGAACTTTTGGGGTCATTCAAGTATACTATCATATCATCTGTAAATAGTGATATTTTGACTTCCTCCTTTCCAATTTGTATTCCTTTGACTTCCTTTTGTTGTCTAATTGCTCTGGCTAGAACTTCCAGTACTATATTTAATATGCAGGGAGAGAGTGGGCCATCTTGTCTAGTCCCTGATTTTAGTGGGGTTGCTTCAAGTTTCTTTCCATTTCATTTGTTGTTGGCTTCTGGTTTCTGTATACTGCTTTTACTATGTTTAGGTATTGTCCTTGAATTCCTGACCTTTCTAGGACATTTTCCATGAAGGGGTGTTGAATTTTGTCAAATGCTTTCTCAGCACCTAGTGAGATGATCATGTGTTTTCCTCCCCTTTGAGTTTGTTTTACATAGTGGATTACATTGATGGATTTCCATGTATTGAATGATCCATTCATTACTGGGATAAAGCCTACTTGATCATGATCAATGATTTTTTTTATGTGTTCTTGGATTCAGTTTGCAAGAATTTTAACGATTATTTTTGCATCGGTATTTAAAGGGAGATTGGTCTGAAGTTCTCTTTCTTTGTTGGGTCTTGTGTTGCCTAGATATGAGTGTAATTGTGGCTTCATAGAATGAATTGGGCAGTGTTCCTTCTTTTTCTCTTTTGTGGAAAAGTTTGAAAAGCATTAGTATTAGGTCTTCTTGGAAGGTCTGATAGAATTCTACACTAAAACCATCTGGTCCTGGACTTTTTTGGTGGGTGACTTTTAATGACTGCTGCTATTTCTTTAGGGGTTATAGGACTGTACATGTGGTTCACCTGATCTTTATTTAACTTTGGTTAAATCTGGATTTAACCTGGTATCTGTCTACAAAATTGTTCATTTCACCCAAATTTTCCAGTTTTGTTGAGTAATGGCCTTTGTAGTAGGATCTGATGATTTTTAAATTTTCCTCAGTTTCTGTTGTTATGTCTCCCTTTTCAGTTCTGATTTTATTAATTTGGATACTGTCTCTGTGCCCTCTGGTTAGTCTGGCTAACAGTTTTTCTATCTTGTTGATTTTCTCAAAGAACTAGCTCCTGGTTTGGTTAATTCTTTCTATAGTTCCTTTTGTTTCTTCTTGGTTGATTTCAGTCCTGGGTTTGATTATTTCCTGCCATCTACTCCTCTTGGGTGTATTTGCTTCTTTTTGTTCTAGAGCCTTCAGGTGTGCTGTAAAGTTGCTAGTGTGTGCTCTCTTCATTTTCTTTTTGTAGGCACTTAGAATTATGAGTTTTCCCCTTGTACTGCTTTCAATGTGTCCCAAAAGTTTTGGTATGATGTGCCTTCATTTTCAGTAAATTCTAAAAGAGTCTTTCATTTCTTTGTCTATTTCTTTCTTGACCAAGTTGTCATTGAGCACAGCATTTTTCAGTTTCCATGTGTATGTCGACTTTCCATTGTTTTTTCCGACTTTCCATTGTTTTTGCCATTATTAAAAACCAGCCTTAGTCCATGGTGATTTGGTAGGATACATGGGATTATTTCACTGTTGTGTCTGTTGAGGCCAGTTTTGTGACCAATTACATGGTCTATTTTGGAAAAGGTACCACGAGTTACTCAGAAGAAGATTTTATATATATGATGAAGTGTTCTATAGATATCTAGGTATCTCTTAAATCCATTTGGTTTATATCTTCTCTTAGTTTCACTGTGTGTCTGTTTAGTTTCTGTTTTCATCATCGTCCATTGCTGAGAGTTAGGTGTTTAAATCTCCCCCTATTATTGTATGAGATGCAATGTGTGCTTTGAGGTTTAGTAAATTTCTTTTGTGAATGTGTGTGCCCTTCCATTTGGAGCATACACAATCAGAATTGAGAGTTCATCTTGGTAGATTTTTCATTGATGAGCATGAAGTGTCCTTCCTTATATTTTTTGATAATCATAGCTTGCAAGTTGATTTTATTTGATTTTAGAATGACTACTCTAGCTTGTTTGTTTGATATATTTTCTTGGAAAATTGTTTTTCAGCCTTTTACTGTGAGGTAGTGTCTGTCTTTGTCATTGAGGTGTGTTTCCAGCATGAAACAAAACCCTGGGTCCTGGTTACGTGTCCAGTCTGCTAGTCTAATTCTTTTTATTGAGGAATTTAATGCACTGATGTTAAGAGATATCAAGGAAAAGTGATTATTGCTTCCTTTTATTTTGTTATTAGTGGTTGAGTTATGTTTGTGTGGCAATCTTCCTTTGGGTTTGATGAAGATTACTTTGCTTTTTTAGAGTATAATTTTCCTCCTTGTGTTGGTGGTTTCCCTCTATTATCCTTTGTAGGGCTGGATTTGTGGAAAGATATTGTGTAAATTTGGTTTTGTCATAGAATATCATGGTTTCTCCATCTATGGTAATTCAAAGTTTTACTGAGTATAGTAGTCTCGGCTGGCATTTGTATTCTCTTAGGATCTATATGACATCTGTCCAGGATCTTCTGGCTTTTATAGTCTCTGGTGAGAAGTCTGGTGTAATTCTTATAGGTCTGCTTTTATAAGTTACTCGACCTTTCTGCCTTACTGCTTTTAGCATTCTTTCTTTGTTTTGTGCATTTGGTGTTTTGAGTATTATATGACAGGAGAAATTTCTTTTCTAATCTAGTCTATTTGGAGTTCTGTAGGTTTCTTGTATGTTCATATGCATCCCTTTCTTTAGGTTAGGTAAGTTGTCCTCTGTAACTTTGTTGAAGATATTTACTGGCCTTGTAAGTTGGAAATCTTTGCTTTCTTCTATACTTATTATCTTTAGGTTTGGTTTTCTCATTGTGTCCTGGATTTCGTGGATGTTTGGTGTTAGGAGCTTTTAGCAGTTTGCATTTTTTTTGACAGTTGTGTCAATGTTTTTATGTGGCATCTTCTTCGCCTGAGATTCTCTCTTTTATCTTTTGTATTCTATTGGTGATGCTTGCATGTATGACCGCTAATCTTGTTCCTAGGTTTTCTATCTCCAGTATTGTCTCCTTTTATGATTACTCTATTGTTTTTACTTCCATTTTTAGATCCTTAATGGTTTTGTTCAATTCCTTCACCTGTTGGTTGTGTTTTCCTGTAATTCTTTAAGGGATTTTTGTGTTTCCTCTTTAAGGGCTTCTACCTGTTTACCTATATTCTCCAGTTTCTCTTTAAGAGAATTATTTATGTCCTTCTTAAAGTCCTCTATCATCATCATGAGAAATAATTTTAAATCTGAATCTTGCTTTTCCAGTGTGATGAGGTATCCAGGACTTGCTATGGTGGGAGAACTGGGTTCTGATGATGCAAAGTAACCATGTTTTTCGTTGCTTATGTTCTTGCACTTGCCTTTTGCCATCTGGTTATCTCTAGTGCTACTTGCTCTCACTGTCTCTGACTGGAGCCTGTCTCACCTGTTTTCTGAGTTGTGTCAGAGCTCCTCAGAGTCCAGCTGTCTTTGTGATACTGTGAACCTACCTGTCAGAGTTTCTGGGAGTCCAGCTTCCTCTGGGTATTGTGGGAATAGTTTCAGTGGTAAAAATTACAGAACGTTTCATGAATTTGCATGTCACTGTTGCACAGGGGCCAGGCTAATCTTCTCTATATTGTTCTGATTTTAGTATATGTTCTACTGAAGCGAGCACGTTTTTAGGGTTTTATCATTAATTTTGGAATGTCATATTTCTATCTATTGTTATTGTTTGTGTTCTATTTATTATTAGCATGGATTCTCATTTTGTATGGCAATTTCTATAATTATAAAATTTTATTGGGGTCCAAAATATTTTCAATGAACAGCATGCTAGTAATGTAATTGTATATATTGTTAAATATATAATATAATATTTATTTTTTAAAATATCCATCTAATTTTTGTAGTAAACATGAAAATTTTACAAAACTAATTGGATATTACAATTTCATAATTCACATGTCATTTTGTGTCTAAAACCCACAAAGGCAACTCACATAGAAACACATTACACTGAAACATCCAATCATAATATTGGCACCTTTGAAATTGTCTTTTTTAAACACACTTCGAGCTTATAAAGGCAATAATTAAATTCATTTTAAGTTATATAAACACTTCCTACAAAAATGACTAAATTAGTCTTTTAATGAAGAGCAATTGAAGAACACGCAAATCTTTGTATTTGGATCTATGTGCTAGGTAATCTGATGCTTTTTATAATTAAGGTTTTTTTATTCTCATTATGAAGAGACTACCTCATATGCTAACTATGCCTTCGAGTGGTTAAACTTCTAAATACACAAAAGTGTAGTTTCCTGGTGACAGTACTTAAAATTTATTTTTCACATACTACAAAAGAGAAGCTCACCCAAGTACTATGATATCTGCAACAAGTATTGTTTATTTATTTATTTATGCATTCATTCATTCATTCATTTATCCATTTTTCATTTTTAGAACTTTTTAGCAAATAAAACTACGTTGTTGCCTTTTCCTAGTAAATTTTACAGGGATCTGAAAAAATCTGGTACATATTTCACTATAATGTATATCAAATTTAAATATCTTAAAGACTAAATGAAGCCTTATGTTGTTGAATCTAAGAAAAACACTGTAAGAGAGGTGAGGTAGAGAAGAATTATTTTCATGGAGGAAACTGAATTAAGTGAAATGATTGGTTACCAAATGAGTCTTTACATGAAACGACTCTTTTTTGAGCCATTTGTTTTGTGAATAGGTATATGTGCTACAGACTGAAGTAGGTGATTATGTGAATTTTGGGTAAAAGGGGGAAGTTCATATAGTGTGTTTATATTAGCTTTTAGAAATTCATTATACTTATAGATGGATAGATAGAGAGATACTTAGATGATAGAGACAGATGAAGATAGATAGATAGATAGATAGATGATAGACAGATAGATGATAGACAATTAGATTTTTGATACAGGTTTTCTCTATGTAGCCCTGGTTGTCCTGAAACTCTGCAGCACCACTATCATCAGGATAAATGCAAATTTGTAACAAATGACAAACCTTGCATTTTAAATAATGATTGCTTCACAACTTAATGAAAGATTATTGCAAAGAAATATTCACTGTGCTGTCATAAAGAATATTGAATTCTACCATCACTTCTGAGGAAAACACGTGATAGCATTCTATTTTCTTTTTTTTTCTTTTTTTTTTTCTTTTTTTTGTTTAATTTCTTTTTTTTTTGAACATGAAATGCTTTTTTATAGAGTGTTTTACAAGGGGAGGGGGTAAGAGGGTCCAGGTGGTGGAAAAGTACAAAATCTTCTTGGCCTGTGCCTTGAAACATGTCATGGTCTATATGGTACACTGCCTTGAATTATGATCTACCTGCAGTTCTTCAGAAGATATGGTACACTGCTTGAGTTATGGTCTCCCTGCTATTCTTAAGAAGACATGGTACTCTGCTTTGAGTCTATCTGCAGTTGCTAAGCAGGATCTTGCAGCTGCCAAGCTTCAGAGGACATTGTGCAGGTGGGGAAAGGTAGGGGGTAAGGGTAAGGGCGAGGGTCCTGGCTTCTGGCATCTCCCCCTTCTCTGTTTAGTTAGAGAAGGCTTCTTATGTTCAATCCCAACTATGTGAGTTTTGAATTTGGATGTCTAATTATGGGGGGTCTTAGACAAGTTCACAACCCCAAAACACTGATGTGAGACGAGTCACATCGATGGTCGAAGGTTTTAGGCTGTCGACGATGGGCAACGTCAAGGGACTCCGATGTGGGTG